AATTTAAATTCATTTATATTCCTAAGAGTAACACGTTATTAACATAACACTGTGCAATGATATAAAATCTTTAAAATAATAATAATAATAACTGGAGTCTCAGAAAGAAAAGAAAAATAGGGCATAAGAAATATTTGAAGTGATAATGGCCTCATATTTTCCAAAATAAATAATGAAAGATGTCAAACCACAGATACAAGAATCTCAGAGCACCCTAAGCAGGATAAACAGAAAGGGAAAAACAAAAAACAAAATACCTAGACACATCATAATCTAGCTATTAAAAAGCAAAGAGAAAATCTTGAAAGTGCCCAAGAAAAAAGAAACATCAAAAACAGGAATATTACAGATTTCTAATTGAAAAATGAATTTTTAAAAAAATCAGAATTATGGTAAAATTTATACCAGTCGAGTTTTCAAATTCCAAAAGGTTCCATAATTTCTATTACATTAACCATTACCTGCTCCTTTTACAAATTTCACTTTCTATGTAGGTTGTAGGCAGCTTAAGCCACTCATTTGGAGTCATAAAGTGCCTTGAATTAGAAATTCTTGGGAATCTGGAATGCAGTTTGGCCTTTTCAATCTCTTTAAATTCTTTCATTGTATATATTTTGCCTGCAAGAAGATTAGTAACCTAGATTAGCACCCTTAAATGCAACTCCCATTGCTCTTGGGTTATGAAATCACGTAACAATCAGGCACTGAGTACCAGTCTCACACTGAAGAAGAGTTCTTTTTTCATCATCTTTGTCATATTGTGCCTTTTTCAAAGGGTCACGAAATGGTGGAATGGTAACCTACAAGAAAAGCATGTCTTTGAGGACAGGATTGCAGGTCTTTTTCAGTCTACCTTAAGCATCTATGTATGGCTCTTAGGCCAGAAGAATCAAGAATAAAGTATCTACAAACTACTTCAGTGTAACCATTATATATATTTAACATTTTACAAAGAAATGAGGGCACTCCGATACATCTCTTAGCAAGGCCCTCCAGTCATGGTTAGCTCTTGTGTTAATAGCTTTTCCAGATCACTGTGGATATTCTTCTTAGACACTCTACCCAAACTCAGTAAGTGGTAGTTTCTTAAAGGTTATGATGTGCAATCTGAAACTGTATCAATAAATTGTTCAAACTCAACTACATTAAAACCCATTGGTCTGGGGCACCTGGGTGGCTCAGTCGCTAAGCGTCTGCCTTCAGCCCAGGTCATGATCCCAGGGTCCTGAGATCGAGTCCCACATAGGGCTCCCTGCTCAGCAGGAAGCCTGTTTCTCCCTCTCCCACCCGCCCTGCTTATGTTCCCTCTCTCGCGGTGTCTCTCTCTGTCAAATAAATAAATAAAATCATTAAAAAAAAAATCCGTTGGTCAATCTTGAACTTTGAATGGATCTTTTATCTATGTCATGGGTTGAGTATTTCGAAAAAATTGTATCACTGAGTTTTGTGAGAACTTCCAAATGTTAATACATTTCATTATACTATAATCAATCACTCTCATCAGAAAAGTCTAAGAGTATTGGGAAGCTGTCACACGATGATATTTTTCCAAAATTCAAATTTTTTGCTTGAAAACTCACATCTTACCATTAGCAACAAATATTGTCAGTTGGTTTTCTTGAAGTGACACTTTATTAATTTCCAGAAAATGTCTGCCAAATATCCAACACTTAATAACCACAGTTTATAAGAGATTCTTTCAAGTAAAAATGGTATACCATGGGAAAAAAATTAACCAGTATAGCTCACAATTCATACAATCATGCTTCATTTCAGTAGGCAGCAGAAATGCTCCTTGCATACTTCCCATTTCATCACACAGAATATTAAAAAGATGTGTACTCAGGAGCAAGATTTAATAAAATTAGTAATTTTTAATGTTTGATCAAGGACATTCTTAAGTGAAATTGAATTTTATTGTGAGTGCATGGCAATGAAGAATATAATGACAACCAGTAGGATTTGGTGACACTGACTAAGCAGTTCTCAGGTACCAGGAGTTTTACCCACCATTGATTTTGCACCATCAGAGCAAAAGTCAACAATATGAAAAAGGCAAATGGTATTTGGCACTATTATGAAAATACTTGGCCTAATGGACCCCTAAAAGGGTTTCAGGGTTCTCAGAGGTCTATATCCCTCACTTTAAGAACTGCTGCTATGACTTCAACGTGCTCAGCTTAACTTAAGAGGCCACCTATCAGCTTCATTTAGAAAGGTAGCATGGTAAAATAACTGCAATTCTGATACAAAAAGATGTGGTTCAGGGCCTCCTGGGTGACTCAGTCGGTTAAGCCTCTGACTTTTTATTTCAGCACAGGTCATGATCTCAGGGTCATGAGATCCAGCCCCGAGTTGGGCTCCACACTCAGTAAGGAGTCTGCTTTAGATTTTCTCTCTCCCTCTCCCT